GATGGATGGACAGATATGGAAGAAACTAAGGGAGGAAAGTTCAGGGTTACCTTCATTTTTACTGTAGAATTTATTTCTAAAAGTTACATGGTAAAGTGGGCTTAGAAAGCAGTGTGATCTAGCAGGAAAAAGATTAGTTGAGGGGGTGTCAGAGAAATTTAGGTTCATCTCACAGCTGTGTCACTGCCTACCTGCAAGATTGTGGGCTGGCTGTTTAACATCTCTGAGCTTCAATTTCCACATCTGAAATGAGGAAATACTAACATCTGCCTTGTAGAGCTGGTGGCAGAAGTTCTTGGTACGTAGAAGTGCTTAATAGTTGTGAAGTGTCTTTATTTCTCCCCAAAAGTATACTCTTCTTTCTCCTTTAAATATGTTAGATGTGCTAGCTAGAAAATGTAGAAAAAAGGGAAAAGGATTAAAAATGTTTTTTAGATGGCATTGAATAATCAGAACAACAAAAAATTATGGGCTATCTGCACAACTAGTGACCAAAGATGTGAAACACAAAACAGGCTACAGGACCCCAAGGCAGCTAACAGGGACCAGAGGGGAGATGACAAATAAAGGCAACGGGCCTGTGCAGATCCAGTTCCTCAAGACCTGCCAATCGCAGCAAGTCAGAGGGACGTGGTTTGGATTTGTTTTGTAATTCCTCCATTTCTTACATAGTTCTGAAAACTAATACTTTTTAAAAAAAAAAAACTCAACTGGAATAGGTGTCAATTACCCTCCTTCAGAATCTCCCGTTAGACCCCTACCTCGAGACGGTCTCATTATTCCATTCTGGTGCAGTAGGAGTTGTTGTGATTGCACCAGTCTCACGAAAAGCTACTGACTTATATGGCCCATACATTTTTCTCTTTACCTTACAGAGTCACTCTCTAGGGTTAATCTGTATGTCATTTTTCTTGTCCTTAACATAAATAAAGCAAACTTTATTTTGTTCATAACTGATTTAATTATTAGATTTTAGAGCTTCACTATCCAATACAACAACCACTAGCCATATCTGGCTATTCACATATAAATTCATTAGCACGAAAATAAAAATCCAGTTCCTCAGTCTCACTGAGGCGCTCAATAGCCACGCGTGTCTGGTAGCTTCTATAACGGACAGTGCAGATAGAGAACATTTTCATTGTCACACAAAATTCTATTGCACAGTACTTCTCTGAAGAATTGGTTATTTGGGGGATTTATATTGTCTTATGTGTTGCACAAAAATCATATTGGTCTCTATGCAACTTCATGACTCCTTAAGAAGGTCGCCCATAGAATAGTGGTGATTTTACTCTGGGTGATGGTGATGTGAGATCACTGATCTGTAACTCTGATCTGTAACATCTTAATCCATTCCAAACTGAATTTTACAGGGTTTCTGTCCCCAGAAGGATTTCCCAAAGAGTGATAGAATGTTTTTTTCAACAGTTTCCCCCTGTGTCTTATGTCTATCTCAAAATGTCTGGGAGAAAGATCGCTGGTTTTTTTATGCGGCATGTCTGACTGCCTCATCAGCCTGACAAAACCAGGAGCATG